CTCCAAAGATCCTTTAAATTATGCACTGCAAACTTGCTGCCAGTTGAAAAATGCTTCTGAAATATATTTCGTGTAGCCAAAATGTTCCCTCATCCTCAACATCATGGCATTTACATTAGATTGTGAGTCTGGCGATGTCCGCCCGAATGATCCATTCGAAACATCCATTAAAACTTGTAAAAATGGCATCAAACATAAAAGGAACCGGAGTGACTTTAACATTTCCTTGGACACATTCTGAATGGCTTAGTGTCTCTGGAGTAAATCAATAAGAAGTTTTTACAGCCACTTCGGGAGAGATAAGCCGGAGATTAAACGGGATTTCAGACGTGAATCGTTCATTTTTGTTCAAGAACTATGCAATGGAAAATGGCTGTTAATGAGCTTATTCGTGTTTTGCTGTGTTCGATTTTTATTAGCAATTTGCTGTTGCCTTGCTCTCAAATGCAGTTTTCCACACATTTTCCTATCGCGAACTTTGGCACCCTTAATTCATTTGACTGGAAAAATTAAACGAGTATGACAATCTGCCTTTGTATTGTTAGCTAATTTTCTTATTGAACTTCCGGGAAAGTGCAAATATTTGATGAACTTGCCGGCGAATTGGATTTAAAAGATTTAATGAAATCTGAAAATTGGTTAACAAGTTAAGTTTAAATTGCACGTAGTTAAGGAGTTCGTCAAGGCGTTAAATATTCAATTCAATTAATACTTTATGGTATTAGAGTTGAGAAAGAGAAAAGTTGAGCAAGATAGATGAGAAAACAACCAACATTAATAAGCTTAAAGACTTTTTTGAAGTTAATTTTCTTTGGTGCAGTAAAGTACGAAAAGACGCACTGAAAATGGAAGTTTCATGTGAATTCACGAAAAATTTTGAATATTTTTCTTCATTTAGTGAGTGAGCCATCTCTGTCATTAAATTATTATTTTTTTATTATAATTAAAATTAGGTTTTATTTATGGGCGAGCTGGGCCGAAGCTCCTATGAAACTTCGGCAGTTAAGAATATTATGAAACTACCTAAACAAAGCTAATATGGCGTTCTTTCAAAGTTTTCCACTAAGTAGGAACATCATTTCCTATCCAATTAAGGCAAGTTTACCAGGCTCGTAAAATTAATATTAGCAGCGCACTGAGCAATGTTTTATTTAAAGGTTTATGATTTCCATTTATTATGGTTTCCATTTCTCATGAGCGTGCTGGAACTAAACTGCGGAAAGTTGGAATATTTACGTTGTCACCATTTGAATCCATTTTCCAAATAAGTTACCAGCTTCCGAGGAACGGCTGTCATTATAATGGGAATGAGATGCATTTGCATTATTTTAACGCGAAGCCCCAGATAGTGAAGGTTGTGCTATTTTTGCGCCCTTAAAAAGGAAATTCAACTTTGGCGATTTTCCGTTTAAACGCTGTGGAGAGCGGAAGACTTTGCCTAGATGTAGATGAAGTTGGACCTAATGGGGTCGAAGCTTTCGATACCGTAAATTAATACTGGAAAAGTTGACACGATCTCTTACGGAGCGTCGTTATTTCGTACTTGCACATTTATCAAGATTCCGTTATTAACTCATAAAGCCGCTATCCTATTAAAACAATTTATCTAGCTTCCCGAGCAGCCAGAGCCACTCCTGAGGGTTTACCAGACTTGAACAGGATAAGTGGATTTTGCCAGCGGCAATAAAGTTTTTTTTCAACCCGTCCTGGGGTCAATGAGGATTTGTAAAGGTTCATATAGTATTCCAATCGGGTTATTAAACATTCCAAATTCGCGGTCCAACCAAACGAATATCTAAGCGAACGGCTAAAGTTCGTAATGTTGACTCTGATGCGAAAGTTTCGTTTTCAACGGGAGTTTGATATCCAATAATTAAAACTGACAAAACAATGTGCGTCTAGTTTCATAATTGAGCTCAAAGCAGATTCCTGGAAATTTAATTAATACTTTTTCCTTTCTAATGATCCCACAACTAAAGTTTCTGGTGTTAACACAACATGGTAAACACCAAACTGACCAAGTGGCGTCGCAAACCTATCAAGATCGTATTGTTCACACTTTTTCGCTTCTGATTCCGGATAATGGAAAAATTGGGCCTCAGTTGGAAAGTTGCATTTTACAATTTTCAAACGATCCTAATAGTTTCATTATCCGGCGTCCATCTGCGATGATAAAACCAGAGAAGAATCGAGCTCATCAATCTTTGGGGCCCGTGTGATGGCTCGGAAGCTCTATTTGAATGAACAAAAATATGCGTCAAGATTTATTACGGAAATTCCGGTTTTCTTTGGGTTCAAATTTTTCTACATCATGAGCTCCATATTTCAGTTACGTTTCTTTCCTGCTAACATTTCCGTTATTATCGGCTTTCCCTGATTTTTGGTGTCGGGAAACAAATAAGGTGCTCGACTCTTAACCGAAGTTTTATGCAAATATTTATATTGAATTTCTTACTGATCGTCCATTTCTAATTTTATTTAACGTTGTTTCATACACTGGCATTGAGACCATTTCTATAATACCTTCTAATTCGGTTATTTTTCGGAATTTTAAGGTTGGAAGACAAAATCCCATCTGAACATTCGCTTCAGTTCGCTGTAAATTTTTGGAAATATTTCGAATATTCAAGGTTTCTTGGCTATTTGGCATTGAA